AATGTCTTACAAATAAAATTATAATCAAATAACATCATAGAAAAACAAAGGAACATCTTTAATAGCACCAGAACAACAACTTTGAGGTAACTTCCCCCTTCTTAGTCATTTCATTCCATCGTCATAAGCAGAACAGGGTTTATCCCAGAGGTGACAGAGAACTGTCTTGGGCATAGAGCTATCAGTTTCCTACACTAGAGTGGGAGGGGACTGTGACAGGTGAGAGGGAGGAGGGCTTCCAGTAAGGCCCAATATTATCTTTAAGGGGAATCCCAAGAAAGGAAAAACTTAACAGCGTTGCTCAAATTTTCCAATCTGTTATAAAAAACTTAAGAATGTGCTTAGGAATTCTAAAGGTATAAGCATAAACAGTGACTGTTTATAATTTGTGAATTGCACATCTCTATGATCTTCTAAGTCATTTCCCTGCATCCACCTCTCCTAGAAAACTCCCTAGCCTTTATTTCTTTTGAATAACCCAAACTTCCTTTGGCAACTTATTACAGCATCCTTCTACATTTACAGCTCTTCAAAATAGTTAACCTTTTTTAAAAAAAATGTTTTTCCTTTATAGATTTTATTTTATTTAAAAAAAAATTTTTTTTAATTGATTTTTTTAGAGAGAGGAAGGGAGAGGGAGAGAGAGATAGAAACATCAATGAGAGAGAACATCCATTGGCCACCTCCTGCACGCCCCCACTGGGGATGGGACCCACAATCTAGGCATGTGCCCTGACTGGGAACAGAACCAGCGACCTCTTAGTGCATGGGTCAACACTCAACCACTGAGCCACACTGGCTGGACAATGGTTAACCTTTATTAATACCCAAATTCTTTCATATTCAACCAGATTCCCTCTTTTATTTAAAAAAAAAAAAAATTTAATTGGTTTTTCAGAGAGAAACATCAATGTGAGAGGGGACATAGATCAGCTGCCTCCTGCATGCCCCCTCCCAGGCATCAAGCCCACAACCCAGGCATGTACCCTTACAGGGAATCCAACTGGCAACCTTTTAGTACATAGGACGACACCCAACCAACCTGAGCCATACCGACCAGGCCAAATTCCCTCTTAAATCTTAAAAGAGATATAGAAAAATGACTCTCCATCACTCACACTCTCTCTTTATATCTGGAGGACTATTCCAGTATTAAGTTTCATGATATTTAGTTATACAATGACCTTCCAGTTACCACCCTGAATGAGTATTTATTTTAATCTATCTTCCAACAGATAATTTCCCCAAATTTTGTTGCTCTTATCATCCTCAAAAGTTTTTTAGCCCTGGCCGTTTGGCTCAGCAATTAGAGCATCAGCCCATGGACCAGAGAGTCCCGGGGTCGGTTCCCACTAAGGGCATGTGCCTCAGTTGCAGTTTGCCCGTGGCCCCGGTTGGGGTCGTGTGGGTGGCAGCCAGTCGATGTGTCTCTCTCACATTGATGTTTCTCTCTCTCTCTCTTCCTCCCTCTCTCCCTCCCTCTCTATCTGAAGATAAGTGCAAAAGTGTCCTTGGGTGAAGATGAAAAAAAAAACTTTTTTAAAAATCAATCTAGAATCCAAAGTTACATGAGACTAGAGAGCTGAGCACAGAACCCTACATGTTAGTCACCTGATTCTGCCTCTCGGATTCATGTCTTGTTTATGACCATAAGACTTAACTGATCCCATTTAACCAAGGCCCATCTGAGACCCCAGGTCTTTAATAGGTAAGAATAAGTGCAAAACTGATTCATTTCCATTTCTTAAGTACAGGGGCTACACACTCTTCCCTATCATCCTATCCTATATGTCAGCCTCTGTTTGGTGTTTTACTTTTTTTTTTTTTTAATCCTTACCCAAAAACACTTTTCCATTTATTTTCAGCCAGAGTGAGAGAAATAGAGAGAAACATCGATGTGAGTGAGGCACATCAATTGGTTGCCTCCCATGAGACCCCAAACTGCAACTGAGGTACGTGTCCTTGACCGGAACTAAACCCCCTACTCTTTGGTCCATGGGCAGATGCTCTAACCACTGAGCAAAACTGGCCAGGGCTCTGTTTGGTGTTTTAAAGATGTGTGTCATCACACTAAAATCAAAGTCCCCAAAATCTGAATCATTATAAAAAGCATATTCTCTTGACTCCAAAGATATGATAGGTGGGGGTTTATCAAAAGAACAAATGGAAATATTAGCACAGTTACCTCTTAATGCCTTGAGTTGCAGCTTCTAGACTTATAATGAAAGCATATCCTATAGCAGCAATCTTCTTTAGTGAGATGAACATGCACACACACACAAACCTACAGACCAAGATTTGAGCTTTTGTTTTGTTTTTGGTTTTTAATGTCTAAGATGGAGCCAAACCATTAATGACTAATTCAAATGACCCTAGCCCAGCCAGTTTTTGTTAAAATTCTGCCTCTCAGTGTATATCTTTCTCCAAATCTCAACTGTCTTGAGGGCCCAAGTGATGTACCCTGGTATCAGACAGAGTTTGTTTAACTGGGTTCCCCCAGCACCTTGGAAAGTCCCAAGAAGTGATAGAGCAGCGGTTCTCAACCTGTGGGTTGTGACCCTTTGGGGGTCGAATGACCCTTTCACAGGGATCGCCTAAGACATAACAGTAGCAAAATTACAGTTATAAAATAACAATGAAAATAATTTTATAGTTGGGGGTCACCACAACATGAGGAGCTGTATTAAAGGGTCATGGCATTAGGAAGGTTGAGATCCACTGTGATAGAGGGAAAGCTTGTAGTTTCACCTACTGCTAGAAGAGCAAAGAAAAGAAGCCTTCCTTTGCAGTTATTTAAAAAGAAAAAAATTTAGCCCTGGCCAGTTTGGCTCAGCGGTTAGAGCATTGGCCTGTGGACCAGAGAGTCCCGGATTCAGTTCCCACTAAGGGCACACACCTCGGTTGCAGTTTGTCCCCAGCCCTGGCTGGGTAGTGTGGGTGGCAACCAGTCGATGTGTCTCTTTCACATTGATGTTTCTCTCTCTCTCTTCCCCATTCTCTCCCTCCCCGTAAAAAAAATTTTTTTTTTAATATCAACTAAGCACCATTTTCCTACAAGCTGATACTGTGACTAAGTGGTAATCAGCTCATATAAAGGAGACAGGAGTAACCAATCTAAGTTTAGGATTACATTGGAGACGATGAGAAAATGAAGCTGCAAAGCCTAAACACTTCCTGAACTAGGGAGCTTAAGGAGGTTTTCATTTCTCACAAAGCAGTAACAGAACTTTTTGAATCTATACACAGGCCCCATTAATCCAGGAACCCAGAAACATCTGACAAACATTAATTAAGTTAGGCAACAAGCTCCATTCATAAATAGGGAAACCTGGGTTGAGAGACCAAGCAACTTGAAGCCCAACAATGAGTCAGGACCAGAGTGGGCAAACAGACCCAGGAATCTGGAGTCCCCACCTCTGGCAGGGAAACACTCTCTCTTTCAAGGGAATAAAATGTTCCTATAAGAAGCAGATGGCAGAGACAGGCGATAATATCCACACATCTTGGGTTGGGACCAAACAAAGGACTGCCAATGGCACCCAGCTGCAGCTGGAAGGAAGCCAACCCAAGGCCCCAAATATCATTTAAGCAAATGAAAAATGAGCACAGCTTCAGCCCCTCCTTAGCAAAGACACTGCTCACCTTATGGCTTGTAAATTGATGCTATGAAGATACCCCATCCATCCTCACCTAAAGACTCTGTTTTTATCTGATTTGAGTTCAGAAATGCCTATTCATCTTTGGCCAGATAGGCAAATCAAGTATTATACTTGCAAGCATGCATGCTGAAATTGGACCCACCCTACAGAAAAAGGAGTCTGGTAACTACAAACCTTCTGGCTTTTCCTGTCTCCTTCACAAGGGAAAGTTAAAATACTGTTTATATCTAAAACACAAAGTGTGAATCAGTGTACTTCATAAATTGTAGGGGTTAGGTGGTAACATGACCGGCTTGTATATTTAAGGTCCAGCAAATATAAGCTAAGCAAGGTATACTAGATGAGCACAATCAAATGTTCCTTTCCAAATATCTGTGAAAGGGAGCAAATAACTGGATAATATCTTGGAGTAAAATGAGATTTGCCCAGCTTTCCCGGCAGGAGTGAGATACTCTAACACTTAACTCTTGACTGAGAGCTACAGGTGAGCAGCCATCTGCTGGGAGTAGGGCCAGAGAGAACTTGACAAACTCCAAAGAAAAACAATGCCTGCCTCCCAGTTGAGCTGGGCCAAGGGCAGACCCCGGCTCCAGTCATCAGTGAAAATCCTTACTAATTTGGGGCCCAGGCAAACAGGGTTAATACTAAGGTTAAGACCAAAATGTTCTAGCATTCTTTAGGGAGGAGAGGGGTGAAGGGAGGGCCAAATTCCCTTCACCAACCCCTTCCGCTGTGGTGATGTGGGGGTGGGAGATAGCCATCACCTGGCAATCTGCACTCCCCATTCCCGACCCCCACCTTCACCCACCCCTCACTGTAATGCCCCAGCTCCGTCCTTGGGTGAGCCTCTAGTTACCGCCAGGGAGTGTCGGTGGTTTTCATTCCTCCAGTTAATCCTCTCTGCGCTGTGGCCCACCCATTCTCAGCTCAGGGCCCAGAACAGTAAAATACCTAGGAGGCTTTCCACATAATTAATGTGTGTATCAAATATACATGCTACCCACACTAATAACAAGAACTCGTCAGGCCACATGTATTTTCCATCAAAAATTCATTAAGTGCTTCCTAAGTTTCAGGCGCTGGGCGACGTCCTGACGATTCAAACTCGCCCCAAGCACCCCTCCCTGCTAACATAAGAGGGCTGCGCGGGACAGCCGAAGGAGCCGAAGCTAGGAGAGAAGACTATCACCGGTGCAAGGATCCCTCTCGAGAGGTCTCTCTGTGTCCCCTAGAGACACAGCAGCGCCTTCCTTGCGCGATCTCTCCACAAAGATCTCAACGCCCAGGCCACCCCGCACTGGCCGCGCCGCCGCTCCCGGTCCTCTCCCCGCCCGCACTCACTGGGTCTTCCTGCGGCCCTGGTCCCGGTGCAGCTCCCGCAGGTCCACCTCGGCGCGCCCCAGGAACTTGTCGAGGCCGAGCAGTGCGCGGTGCAGCACGGTGAGCTGCAGGGTGGCGGTGGCCGCGGGCGCGGCCCCGGCGGACAGCAGCGGCGGCAGCTCGAAGGTGGCCTCCTCCCGCCACACTGGCGCACCCAGGCTGCGCTCCGACACCGAGGTGGCGTACTTCTCCTTGCCCACCTGGATCACCGCGTACGCATCGCTGGTGCCCCCGGGGCCCTTGGCCCGCAGGCCCCGCGCCTGCAGCACCGTCACCTGCACATGTGTGGGGGACCACACGGCCCCCGGGCCCCGGCCCGCCGAAGCCGCCAGAGACATGGTGACGGCGCGGTGATCCTCTGGAAGGTGAAGAGAAGATAGCCGCCACCCGCGGCCTCTACCGCCCGCCCTGCCGCCCTGGCCTCTTTAAGGCTTCCGGCCACGCCCCCTCCAGGGCCCGCCTCCCCGGACAGCCCCGCCCACGCCGCCCACCTGCCGTGGAGCGAGCCGCGCCGGGGCGCAGAGGGCTGGAGCCGGGGCCGCCCTGGCGCGGCGAGGGCAGGGGCCGAGCCTGGAGAATTACGGTCTGAGAGGTGGTAGGTAGGTGAGGGATGGAACCCACAACTGACAGAGGTCGCACCGCCCGACCGGAACTGGCGGAAGCGCAGACGTGAGAGTCAGACCTCATTTCCAATCTGGCATTGCCCACTGGCGTGTGTGTGACCTTGCACAGATTACTTAACATCTTTTGGTCTCAGTTCCTCCATCGATAAAATGAGGTCATCTAGAATTGCTGTGAAAAATCATGTAGCCTGGCACGTGGTGAGTTCTCGGTGAACGGTAGTGTGAGAGTGGTTATGAACACTATCCCAAATTCACCGCTTTCGACTTCGGCCGCGGGGGTGATAACTGTGGAGGATGGTGGGTTCTGGGATGGTGCCAGGTGATTGGGGAAGGAGGAGGATTATTTCAAAGCCTGAAAAGGGGAAGGTAAAGTGGGGGGCAGGCATCAGGTGGTGTGGGGATGTCTGTTTTGCCCTGCCCTCACCAAATAAGGTGAAACTAAGAGGCTAAATTAGGGAAGGGGAAGAAGGGGGGAACTGTAACCGGGATTGCCTAACCAGACGTCAGGAGCAGAGGCTCCGCCCATCCCCAGTTCCCCATTTCTCCCTGGCTGGACCCTCTTCCGTTTCCCCCTGCTCTTTATCTTTAGACTTCAGAGAATCATTTCTTTGTTCCAAATGTCCATTAGATTGGCCTATTCCCTTCATTCCCAGTATCCTACTTCAAAGGTTTAACTGTGGATCATTGGAAAGGTCACTTTGAAGATTTTTTTTTTTTTTATTTTTTTATCCTCACCCGAGGACATTTTTTGTTCAGATAGAGTGGGAGGGAAGGAGAGAGGGAGGGAGGGAGGGAGGAAGGGAGAGAGAGAGAGAGAGAGAGAGAGAGAGAGAGAGAGAGAGAGAGAGAGAGAGAAACATCAACGTGAAAGGGACACATTGAGTGGCTGCCTCCATTGGCTGCCACCTGCATGACCAACCAGGGCCGAGGTACATGCCCTTAGCGGAACCGAACCAGGGTCTCTCTGGACCGCAGGCTGACGCCAGGGCTGAGGTACATGCCCTTAGCGGGAACCGAACCAGGGTCTCTCAGGACCACAGGCTGACGCTCTAACCGCTGAGCCAAACTGGCCAGGGCAAAGTTTTTAGGTTTTACAGTCAAGGAAAGGCCCAGAGCAGAAAAGTGACTGGTTGAAGGCCCCACAACAGAGCCAGGAGTAGAACCCAGGTTTCTTGACTCCCATCTAGTGTTTTTGCTGCATCCCTTCTTCCAGATCCTCAGAACCCCATCTTGGATTGCTACTAGTATCCCCCTGATCTCTAGGCTCTCCTCCCTCCAGTCCACACTGCACATTGTTGCACTAACCTGTTTGAAATCCTATAATGTTGCCTCACCTGCATTAACTTCAGACATACAGATTTAAAGGCATTCCTATTTTGGGCCCACCCTAACTTTCTCCTCTATCTCCTGAGCAAATTATAGCCCAGATAATCTTCCCACCTCCAGGCCTTTAGCACTTGGCTGCCCTGTGGTTGCCCTGCCAGTCTCTCTGACTATTCAAGTCCTACCCACTGCAAGGCTTCACTCAGATTTCTCCAAGGTTTGGCTTCTGATAGCCCTCTTTAGTGTAGGGACTAGGTAGTGACTTATCTAAATTGTGTCCTCCACAGCCCCTAGTAGAAACCTGGGTACACAATAGGTCCTTGGGAAGTGCTACGGGATTGAAGGGTTGCAGGTTATTCCAGCCAACCATGAGTACACAGTGTTCTCTTTTACCATGTAGGAAATTACAACAGAGACATTATGCCTTAGGTTGCAACTGAGGGCGGCTACAGTGTGGGAAAAGCCTATTTAGCACGTTGTAAATATTTAATGTGATCAGAGGGGAAAAAGAAAGGAGGCACCAGACACATAAGAGGCAGGAAAGCCTAACAGAACTCTGTTGTTTCTGTGCTATTTTCCCTTCCTGGCCATTTATTAACCTCTTTCAATCTCATGACTCCATTCATTACCATAAAGATTTATTGAGAACTTACTTTGTGCTAGGTGCTACCTCTGCATGAGACCCAGGTCCAAGGCACACTATGACAAATGCTATAAAAGAAGTCCTGTGTTAATATAATGCTTTGGGTGCTTTGAGGAGAAAATGATTTTTCTAAGTAAGTGGATTTTTATGAAGGAAGTAGTATTGAGCCTTTGTTTATACAATATACCAGATTTGATGGGTAGAGAAGATGGTGGGGGAAGAGCATTGCAGAAGGAGAGAATGGACCAGTCTAAGCAAAGGCATGGAGTCCAGAGAGTTCGTGGCATGTTTAGGGGTATGAGTTTACCACTGGGACTAGAATGTGGGATATTTTAGGAGGTTACTGGGGACTGGTGGTGGAGATAAGACAGCCAAGGAATTGTGGGCCCAGATCATGCAGATCACGAACTCCAGACTAAGGAGTTTATACTACAGTGTTAAACCAAGTGAGTTAGCCTTCAGAGGATTTTGAGCAGTGGCTGGATCAGGCTGTGGTTCAGGTTGTAAGGCAGGTACGAGCAGAAACAGCCAATAGTATGACAGGTCACAGCCAGATACCTTCCTTCATTTTTACCTGGGGACTTCTGCCTGCATCCCCATTCTGTCCCAGCCCTTGCCCATCCTTGGTGTCTATTCTGTGTTGGTACTGCATTAAATAAAGTATATTCTTCCCTCTTAGTTGTCCTACCCTCTACGGCTCCACTACAGTGTCAGAGATTTGCGGTCAAGACTGACCCTGGGAGTGAAGTTTCTCAGCATTGGCCTCACCCCCTCCCTCACATTCCCTCTTAGTCCAGCCCCCACAATACAGAGTGCCAGCAAAGAAACCTAGCTGGACAGCCTCACAGGCTGAGTATGACATGAAGCATTCCTTCCATTCGTGGAAAGGATTAGAGGACAAGGGGCGGGGGCACAGTGGTGAGGGGAGGAAAAATTATGAGCACCTGTGACCTCATGTGTTTGGGTTTCTGTCAGACACAAATAGGCTCTGTGGTCAAAGGAGAGGTGGTAGGTTGTGGGAGGACAAGGCTGCCCAGACACCCCTGAGAAATGGAGATCAAGAACCTTCTCTCTAGACACTGGATACTAGCAGGGTTAACTCAGAGGAGTGGGGCTCCCTAGAAGCAGGAAGTGGACATCTGTCAGAGAAAAGACGCCAGGAGCTCCAGAACAGGGCATTTCTGGGAGTTGGCTTATTACTCCCTAGATGCCTGGATGGTCCTTTTCTCCCCTCCTCCCGTCAGAGCACATTGTCCCTCGAGACTCACTCACTGACCACCCTGGAGCAAGAGTCTGTCTTCTCCCCACTTTACAGACCCACAGTCTTCAGTTCTGGGGCAGTGGACCCAGCAGGTTCACGGAATTCTGAATTCCAGGAGTGTTTGCAAACTCCTCCCACAACCAGGGTGCGGCCAGATGATTGCTCTTTCCTCTCACCCTGCCCCGCCTCTTGCTCTGACAGAGAGAAAAAGAGTTTCAGTAGGCCCAGAGCACGTGGACAAGGCGCCAGGCAGGTTAGACGGGACAAGTTAGCCACCTGCCCTCTCCCAGAGCGGCAGAGCAGAGAGCACCCGGACTGAGGCTTGACCCTGGGCCTCTCTGCAGGCAGCACCCACCGGTGCAGTTAGATTGTAAGCAGATTGTCTTTTAGGCACAGGTGGGAAGAATCCCCCTCTAGAATATGTGTGGAGCCATGCTAGGGGTGGTGAGGCTGGGCATACTTAGGGAGGAACTTTCACTACCCTGCTACTGCCAATCACTCCTACCCACAGCTCCCCGGTATCCCCCAAATGCGGGAACACTAACTCAAAAATCACTCTGGGGACTCTGGATGGGCTAATGTGCCAACCCCAGGGAGGAGCAGAAAGGGGCTGGGAATGGCTGCTAGTTATCTCCTTTGCCTCAGACTCTGAAGTGAGTTGACAAAAGTCCACACACATGACTCATTCACTGTGGACCTTGGTAAACAGCCCTCTGGCTTCTCCAGGACCACTCAGCCAACCAAGAAGACTACCTTTCAGGTGCTGGCTCTAGGAGCAAGGGCTTCCTGCCTCATGGACAGAGGATGGTCCCAACAAGCAAATGGTTCACCATTCCCCATACAATCTTGTTGATGGTATTCTTTGTTTAACAAAGCTTACATCATAGATGACACAAAGATATTATCTTTCCACTTTGTTCAGTCCCTTCAAAAAGGTCCTTGAATCCCACCACTAAAAGACTGTAGGGAATGTGTACCCCTTACCTTCACACTTCCTGCACAAAACCCTCCCTCTGCCTCTCCCTTCAGAATAGCTTCTTGTTTCCCAGCTTACTTCTTGTACTCTGATTCAGCAGTTGTTTTATTCACTTGTAAACATCTCAGAGGCAGGAAGTGTGGTCCTCACCCTTTCTAGCTCTCCCAATTCCTTGCAAATAAAAGGCAGTTCAGGTTAAGTAGAAGAGGTATAAATGACTTTTAAGCCATCAGTATTAATCCATTCATTCCTGCTACCACCACCTTTACCAGTAACCTGCATAACCATTTAAAAATATATATATATATAAGGTTGTTTTTTTTTTTTGCCTGGATATAAAAGAAATATGTGTTCATTGTATGCAAGCCATGCTCCACTTTTCCAGAATAAGTTTCATGGCATTCAGGGGGAAAGCAGACATTTCGAGTATCTATTCCTCCTTGAATTGTCCCATTAGAAGCTACCCTTCAGGTGCTTGTTCTGGCCTCTCCCATACATGTCATGAGCTTCCACTTTCTCAACTGCTGGGACTTGTGGACACAGACCCCACAGCAGTAGAGCTGGCCAAGAGGTGGGTGTGG